CCCACGATGTTGGTGTTAGCAGGGCGAGGAACCAAAGTCCAAGTATCATTTTGTTGTAATGCTTGAATTTCTTCATCCATGGCAGCCACCCAAGCAGGATTCTTAGCCGCAGATTTGAATCCTTTTGGCTCAGTGGATGCAAGAAGAGCAGAAAGAAGTCCAGATGAGCCCAAAATACCAAGATTTGCTGGATGACGAGTCTTGAATATACCAGCTTTGGCTCGTGTGATCATAGGATGAGTGCCCAAAGAAGAGAAATCAACAGGAGGTTCAATAGAGGTCGAATTAGAAGTCGAAGGTGGCAAAGTGGAACCTGCAAGAGAAGTATCAACCTGCACAGACTCATCTACAAGGTCAGAACAAATATCACACGGGGATGAACTGGATCGAGGAGTTTGCGGTGATGAAGTGGTAGGGGGGGATGAATCAATATGATGAAAATGTGGTTCTAAGAAATTTGAAATAGGAATAGAGGAAAGAGGTTGGGTCTGGGAGCTAGGGATAGCAGGAAAGTGGGTTTCATCAAATTGAGCATGACAGGTGATATATAGCTTAGTGGTGGCCGGATCAAGACAGCGAAACCCTTTATGAGCAGGACTATAACCCAAAAAAATACAAGGAATGCTGCGGGGAGAAAGCTTGTTAGGCATATAATCACGCAAATAAGGATAAACACGACAACCAAAGGGATGAAAATTGTCATAATGTGGAGTGTAGCCATAAAGGAGTTCAAAGGGTGACTTACCTCCAAGAAGTGGAGTAGGCAACCGGTTGATAATATAAGCTGCAGTGCTGAAGGCGTCAACCCAAAAACGAGAAGAAAGATGAGAGTGAAAGAGAAGGGCCAAGCCAGTCTCAGTCACATGACGATGTTTTCTCTCAGCACGACCATTTTGAGCAGGTGTATATGGACAAGAGAGTTGATGGTGGATGCCAGAATTACGTAAATGAGTTTTGAAACAAGTATTAGTAAATTCGGTACCACCATCACTTTGAAATACCTTGATACGAGAAGAATATTGATTTTCCACAAATTTTTGAAATTGAAGAAAAATATCAAAAAAATCAGATTTAAATTTTAAAGGGTAAAACCAAGTGAATCGAGAATAATCATCAATAAAAATAACATAATAAAGGAAACCCGAATTTGATTTGACGGGAGAAGGACCCCAAAGATCACAATGAATAAGATCTAACACATGAGACGACCTACGTTCATTGCGGGAATAAGGCAATCGATGACTTTTTGCAAGCTGACAGGTATTACATAATGATGGAGAAGGCAATAAAGACGTAAGAGAAAGATGACCTTTTCTATTTAAAAAAGAAATAACAGAATGATTCACATGACCTAGACGAGCATGCCATAAATCATATGAAGCACGTAAAGATTTGTTTCTAAGGGCTGAAATAAAAGCAGAGTTGCCGCGCTCCAGCACATATAGCCCTCCATCTCTTTTACCGGTTGCCACCACCCTTCCTGTTTGACGATTCTGGATAGTAATAAGATTATTAGTAAATGTAACGGAGAGAGGAAAATCAGACGTTAATTTACTTATGGAAAGAAGATTTTTAGTGAGGTGAGGGACAACCAAGACATCTAACAAGTGAATATTTGGAACAGGTGAAAGAGTACCGGTGTGGGTAATGGGTAGGGAAGCACCGTTTCCTACAATCACAGAGTCCTTACCCGTGTAATTTTTAGACTGATCCAAAATAGATGGGTCGGCAGTCATATGGGCCGAAGCTCCAGTGTCCAGAAACCAATCAGCAGTATCGGGTCCAGCAATAGAACATGACGTGTTAAAGGCTTCAGCAAGGTGAGCATGAGAAGAATCAGGTCGAACATACCGTTGGTTGCAGCGGTCAGCATAATGGCCCTCTTTGCGGCATATTTGGCAGTGAGGTGGTCGACGACCTTGACTTGAGTGGGTTCGTCCTCGATTAGAAGAGTTATTTTTGTGAGAATAAGAACGACCTCGCTGGTTGGTAAAGGAAGCAGGGTGGCTTCCATGGGTGCGACCACGATTAGTGACTGTGAATGCTGTAGGAGTGGAGTTAGAGGACTCAAGGGAGAGCTGAAACAACTCAAAACTTTCAGCTTTAGAGACTAAATCTGCAAAACAGGGGATAGAGGTAAGAGCCATCTGAGCAGTAGAAAAAGCTGAAAATTCGGTGCCGAGTCCACGAAGGAACCAGTGCACTTTATCAATGTCCTCGACCGGTCTGCCAATGGCATGAAGTTGGTCACAAATTTTTTTGAAGGCACGGGCATACTCAGCAACAGGTTTGGTGCCACGTTTCATCAACTGCAAGTCATCCTTGAGTCTCAGTTCACGAGCTTTCGACTGATGGCTGAACGTAGTTTCCAACGCAAGCCAAACATCACGTGCAGTAGGGAGACCAACGACAACAGCCATGGCTTCCTCAGTGAGAGAGGAGAGCAGGAGACAGAGAAGTCGTTGATCGGCTGCTCTCCATGCCAAATATTTGGGGTTGAGTGTTGAAGAGGTTTCTGGTTCAAAGCGAGGTGGTGGAACCCTGGTTCCATCGACATAGCCCAGCATGTCTTGACTCTCAAGAAGAGGGAGAAGTTGGCTTTTCCAAAGAAGATAATTGGAGGAAGAAAGTTTGATGGTGATCATATGGATTAGAGTATTGAAAGGAAGAAGATGATAAGAAGATTCGGAAGCCATAGAGAAGAAAGGATCAGGGTTGTTAAACCGAAAGGGCTCTGATACCATGTGAATGTTTGCTGAATCACCACACCTCAATGGGGGTGAGAGTTCTCTTATTTATAATTATTTTCAGAATACAGAAATATGGTAAATTACAAATATTATGGAAATAGTAATAAAAGGAAAGAATAATAAATGAATGCAATATATTTGCCTTTAATAAGAGGGCAAATATGGTAACCCGTAATGTAAGGCAAATATCTAGATATTTGCCTTATAGTGACGGTCAACTATCCTTAACAACATATATAAAAAATAAAGTTGTCATCTTATTTGCTTTCGTGTATCATGTGATGTAAAATAAAAATATTATATTTAAATATATGTACCAAAATAAAGGACGTTACAACTTGTGCATCTAATAATGATATGTTTATTAGAGTGGCTTTAGAACTTTAGAAAGAACGCTCGGACTTGACTAACAATTTCGAAAGATCTCAACCTATCTTAGGAGCGGGAACGCCCTAACTAATTAGTCGAACTTTTCTTTATTTGGAGCGATTCAGAATGAAAAATAGAAATAGAATTGGGGAGGTGTGTTCTCATTCATATTCATTAACTTTAAATATGATACAAGCTAGCCACTAATAGGTTCAAATAAAAATAATAATAAATTAATTAAATATTGAGAATAAAATAAAAGATACCACAAATCAAAGAATATTAAAATATAATATTTAATATATATTCCATAAATAATATATTCTCTAAATATTATATCTCTCGGATGCGTTAGTAGCGTGCAAATACCATAATTATAAATTTGTCGTTATTAACCTAAATTTAATTTCAATAATTTAAGATATTTTTATATTGTCTCGAACATAGCGTAACAATATATATTTACTCCATTATTTAAAGATAAATACGCGAATTAAAAAATTATTTATATATATATATATCTCGTAATCAAATTGGAATTGCTTCCACGTATTGTTTTGAAGTGTATGCAAATTTAGCCGTTGCCAACCTTAGAAGCCACGTTTTAATTCCTTCTTCCTTTTTCCTTTTACTTTTGCCCCCTCACCACCTCGTTTTCAGTACACTGTGTGATGTCTCATTGCTGGTTCCTCCTCCATAAACACCTCTTGAACTTTCACGTCTGGCGTGTTTTCTCTCTCCTTCGTTCATTCGTTCAATAATGAACTTGTTGCTTTCAAACCATTAAACGTTTTGTTTTTATTAATACAGGTGACCGACAATTTTGCATTATTATACAAATTCATAGTTATTATGAAGAAATCATTGTGTATCGACTTTATTCAATAAACTTTCTGCAACAGGTTTGGATTTCGGGAGGTTTTATTGTATTTTTTAATTTTAAAGTATTATTTTTAAATTTTAAGTTATAATTAGTTACTCGTTATTATGGTATTAATAGACAAGAGAGTTACTGTCTCTCGTGTTGCTTTAGTACGAATATTTTGGATATTTTAATGAAAGTTGCATATTATACTTAATATAAATCAATGTGATTGTATAATGACTGGGTTTGATGAGAATGTAGACAAATGTTTACGTGCTGCAAATGAAATAAAGCTACAGTTTGGACTAACAAAATGATAATTATCCCGAGATACATTCGAAAGAAGAATTTCAGTTTTTAAAACATTATAACAAATATATATTTTTAAATACTCAAGCCACGTGCTACTTCTTGTTCAATTAAAGGTAAGACACCTTATATGGATGACGACGTCGCTACAAAGGCCATAGAATCGAAGTTAGGGTAGTGCATTTCTATAAGAGCTAGATCAGTGCATTTTCATTACTCGAACGTAATGTTATTTTCTTTCCATTATATTTACTATTTTAAATGAATGTTGCAAACATTTAAGTCCACGACACGGTTATGAAAAAGTACGAGCATCACAGTATAACTTATAATAATTGTCGAATATAAATTTCGTTAATTTATGCACGATAATATAAATTTAAATATGAAATATTTTTCTTTGGTATATTTAATGCTCCACCAAAAATATTTTTTTAGGGTCCTCACACATAAATTTTCTAATAAATGACTAAAATTCTAGTGACCCATTCTTTCCAAAAATTGCAAAGAGACAAATTATTAAAAATAAAAAATAAAAAATAAAATGCGTTTTATATTCTTTTTAGAAATTAGAACAAATTAAGTCCTTGTCTTTGAGCTGGGCCTGATTTTTCACTGGGCCCCCATCTTCTCGATCGACCCGAAAGCAAGGTATGAATTAAACGCAAAGCCTTACGAATCAAACGCAGAGCCTTCGAATATATATATATAGCAGAAGAAGAAGACGGAGAAGGAGAAGAAGAAATGGAGAAATTGTTGAGTTGTGGGGTAAGTCATCTGTTCGTGACGCTGTTTCTGGCGACGGCGGCCGGAGTAATGGTGATGCCGGCGATCACCGACGTGACTATGGCGGCGCTCTGCCCCGGCCGCGATGAGTGCTCCCTCGCCATCTATCTCAGCGGCTTCCAACAGGCGGTAACACAACGAACAACCTTGCTTCACTTTTTTTTTTTTTTTTTTTTTTTTTTATAATAAAAAAAAAAACAGTCTCGATTTTAGTCTTAATCTCTGTTTTTTATTGATTTTGAAGATAATTACCAAAATTTTAGTTAAACAAATTATTAATTAATCAACGGTTTTTCAAATTAACTTTTAAAATATTTTATTTTATTTTATTCTATTTAAAAAAGAAAAAAAAGAAAAAAAGCCTTGGCCGGTGGTGGGAGAGTGTGTGGTGGTGAAGTGGCTGTGGGTCAGTTGGGGAAGTGGGTGGTTTTTACTTTTTAGGGTAACTTTTTTTTTATTTCATTTAAATGTTTGGATTAATGGGTTTCCCTTTCCATCTTTTTCCAGAATGCCCCATTATTCAATTAGATATTTTTTTTAAGAGCAAAAATTTCAAGGATAAATTTTCCTATTTTTAATATATATAATATTTATTTTCAAATAATTTTTAATGCATAATTTCTATTTTTAAATGTTAAATATTTTAAAAGAAAAAAAAATATAATATGATTTTAAATATAATTTTGAAACATTTTAAATTTCCAAGGTTACTACTTAGTCTTTCATATTATATATTTATTTCAAATAATTTTTAATGCATAATTTCTATTTTTAAAATGTAAAATATTTTAATAAATTTAATAATATTTTAAAAGAAAAAATATAATATGATTTTAAATATAATTGTGAAAAATTTTAAATTTCCAAGGTTACTACTTAGTCTTTCATATTATATATATAATATTTATTTCAAATAATTTTTAATGCATAATTTCTATTTTTAAAATGTAAAATATTTTAATAAATTTAATAATATTTAAAAGAAAATAATATAATATGATTTTAAAATATATTAGTTTTGAAATATATATAGATAAATATAATCATCATCTTTGGTCTCGTTTAGCTAACACAGAAAATTTTTTCTCCTCTCCCTTTTCATTTAAATGAGAATTTTCTGCTAATTAAATGAACATCTCTAGTTATTTTATGTGTTGGACTTGTGTGTTACAACGTATTACGACGAATACATGTTTTAACGCCTGTTCAACTAAATATCATGCTTATTAACTATTTATCCATTGAAATTAATTTCGATAGTTTAAAATTTTCGTTTAAATGTATAAAATTAAATATTACATTTATTTTAAAGAATGAAAAATAACATGTCTGTAAATGATTTAAAATCGGATCAAATCGCTATTATAATCAATTCAAGTAAAGTTTAAATCAATTATAAATTGGTATGTCTATTCTAAAAGTAGAAGATTCTTGGATTTAAAAGCCAATAATATTCAAAATATCGAGCCACGTAATTGTTTTTCGTGTCAAATGGGAAATTCATTGCCTTTGAGGAAAATATATTTTCCTCATTTTTTCGACGTGCTTCGCTTTCATAGTTGAAAAAGACGTCTCATTTATGAATTTTCTTTTAATGAAATTATAACGAATAAATAAAATTTAATATTACCATAAATAATATATAAGTTATTTTTAGTTTATTTGGTTGAAGGGTTGGTAACAAAAAAGAAAAAGAAAAAGAAAAAAAACATTTTAAAGCACTTTTGACAAAATTGATTGAATAAAAATCACTTTAAAAATACAAAATATCAAAATAATAATAATTCAAATACTTTTGTCAACATTACTTACTGGAAAAGCAATCTTTTGAATTTAATTTAAGATTTTCACATCATAATTATTTTAAAACTACCGTAAAGCATAAAATATTGAAATTAAGGCAAAAAGAAAATTAAATTCAAAATTGATAAAAATATAATTTAAGAAAATGAAAATGAAAATAATATAATATATATATATATATATATATATATATTTTTTTTTTTTTATAAAATTTTAATTTTTATATTTTTTTGAGAATATAATCGTAAATGGAAATTTGCAGTTAACGGGATTGGGAGCAGTAGTGATAACGCCACTAGTAGGGAATCTGTCTGACATGTACGGAAGGAAGGCGATGCTAACGTTACCGATGACAGTCTCCATTATCCCACTCGGTAGGTATGCCTCCACTAAGACTTGGGTTTTATTTAATTTTGTGTATATATAGACACCAATTTTCTTTCATAAATTTAATATAAATTGACCTATTTTTAAAAAGTCAAAAGCTTTAGCTTATATAGCTTATATATAACTCGACAAGGAACGTGGAAATTCGATTGGGTGTTCGTGCGCAACTAGCATCTTATAATAATAGGTCATTGACTCTCGAACAAAGGAAGGGACTGAGCAGCACTAAAGTCGTAGTCGATACTGTGCCTTCCTATTTCTTTTTCATTTTCATTTTCAAATTGAAAATCAAGGTATTAGTGCTCTAGAAAGATTCCAGGGCGTTGTGGCTTGACTAAGAATCTCAAAAGGGCTTTTTTAGCCTACTCTACTACAGTGGACCGTTGAATTAGTAGGTGCCCCTGTTTGTGGGTTTGTGTTGAGGATTGTTGAGAGTGAGTCCCACGTTGACTAATTTAGGGAATGATCATGGATTGATAAGTAAAAGACTTCATTGATACGAGGCCTTCTGGGAAAGCCCAAAGCAAAGCCATGAGAGCTTAAGATCAAAGTGGACAATATCATACTATTGTGGAGAGTAGTGACTTCTAACATGGTATCAGAGTCATGCCCTAAACTTAACCATATCAATAGAATTCTCAAATATCCTCAAATATCGAACAAAGAATTGTGAGTCTCGAAGGTGTAGACAAAAGTGACTAAAGTGTCGAACAAATGGTGTACTTTGTTCGAGGGCTCCAGAGAAAGGAGTCGAGCCTCGATTAAGGGGAGGCTATTTGAGAGCTCCATAAGCCTCAGGGGAGGCTTATAGTGTACTTTGTTCAAGGGGAGGATTTCTATGCTCAAAGTGGACAATATCATACTATTGTGGAGAGTCGTGATTTTTAACCGTTTGAATGACTGAGCCACCAAGCTTGGCTTGTGATGGTAGGCTAGCATCCTCAAACAGACTTGATGGGAACAGACTCATAATTATGTGGACAAGTTGATACATAATTGCAGCGACAAAATATATATATATATATATATATATATATATATATTATATATATATATTTTTTTGGTGGAGGCGTCTTTATTTCAAAATTTAAAATAATTTTTAAAAATAATTTGCGAACGTTTATGGTATAAAAAGGACACGGGGACTTTTATTTTAAAATTAACCTTTAAAAAATGCTTTTGGAAGTATTTAGCTTCTGAAAGCGCTCTCATGGCTATTTGATTTTTCGCGCGCAGCGATTTTGGCGTACAGCAGGGAGAGGAACTTCTTCTATGCATATTACGTTGTGAGGACTCTCACGGCCATGGTCTCCGAGGGCACTGCCAGTTGCCTCGCTCTCGCTTATCTGGTAATTTCTTCACTCATCTCTTCCAATTTCGTGCAAGTTTCCGTCCAGGTCTACTCAATCTGATGCTCCGATTATATTCTCAGGCAGACAACACTTCACAGGCAAAACGAGCGTCGGCATTTGGTTTGCTTACTGGAGTATGCTCTGCTGCTTATGTATGCGGAACTTTAGCATCTCGCTTACTCGCCACGGACTACATTTTTCCGGTACTTTTCTTCATTAGCGAAATGAAACTGATCTTTTGTTCTGTAGTTCTATGTTTCGAGATTCAATGCGTAGAGGTATAGTTTTTGTTGTGCTGTATATTTCGATCAAATTACTGCTAATTTCTCTACAATGAGAACATTCATCTATGATTACAACTGTTTAGTGCTCTTTTGTTCTATAGTTGTGTTTCGAGATTCCGTGGTAGACCGGTAGTGATATTGTTATTGATATTTTGTATGTATTTCGATGAGATTGCTGCGACTTCTCTATAATCGTTACTGTACACATGAGAATGCTCCTCTGTGATCCTGATTGTCTACTGATCTCTTGTTCTACAGTTTATGTTTCGAGATTGAATGGTAGTGATACTGTTATTGTTCTGCCGTATATTTCTTTTAGATGCTGCCGTTTCATCTATAATCGCTACTATACATGAGATTATTCCACTATGATCGCAATTCTCTACTGGTCTCTTGTTTGTTCTATAGTTTATGCTTTGAGATTCAATGGTAGTGACGGCATTGTTCTGCTGTGCATTTCAATCAGATTGCTGCAATTTCCTCTATGGTCGCAATTGTATACATGAGAATCTTTCTCGAGGATCGTTTGCCAGGTGGAAGTGATTTAGTACAGCCAATGTTGAAGGAAGAAGTACCAGAATTGACCGACCGTGAAGACGATGGTGGTGAATTTCCGAGACCGACGTCGGCTTTCAGAAAGATGCCCACTCTGAATGAGGTTATTCACTTAATCACGAGCAGGTAAAGGAGAGTTGTCAGCTATCTGCTTGTGCATTTTACAGTGAGAATTGTTCTTTCTTCCTATGACTCTGCAGTAGACCATTCTATTTAATAACCATAGGGTACAACTTCATTGTTTACAGTACGCTACTCTCACAAGCCGCAGTTGTTGTATTCTTCACCGGCCTCGGTGAGGGAGGATTGCAAGCCTCGATATTGGTATGTCAGTATTTTTCTTCACTATTGCCTCTATATTTAGAGAGATTTATGACCAGTAGTAGTTGCTTTGAAAAATCTGAAAGAAGTATTCTGAAGTGTTTAGTCCGCCAGTGGAAATTCTACTCAAATTTGACACACGTAATTGTTGACAGATCGATGAAACAGATACTTGAAGAGATGCATATTGTCACGATCAGGACTTTGTCAAGCTGTTAAGAGTGTTTCCTAGATCAGAATAAACATTATTGAATTCTTTTTATATTTCATTTTCAGTGATAACCGAACACAAGACTGATTAAACCCACAATAATCTTTACTCTTACAAATTGCCTATCAATTATTCTTGAAAGTAGTTTCAGAAACAGGAACAGAGAATCTTTTGTAAGAACAACGTGAAAACAACTGCCAACTCTCTCTCTGATAGTTAAATTGTATTGCATTGCAGTACTATTTGAAAGCTCGATTTCACTTCGATAAGAACCAGTTCGCAGATTTGATGCTAGTTTCTGGGGCTGCAGGAGCGGTATCGCAGGTAGAATCTACGTGCTTTACTAAGATGATCTGGTTCTTTACACCGTTTTCTGCTCTTCCTTCTCTTTTAGTTAACTGCTTTATACATATGTGCAGCTTGCTTTGATGCCCTTGTTGGCTCCTGTTCTATCAGAAGCCAAGTTACTTTCAATAGGGCTTTTGGTGGGCTGCATCGGTGTAAGCACCTCGGACTCGTTGCTTAGTATTCCATTAACAACTTTTTTCCTTCTACTATATAATCAGTGAAGAATTTGGTCATTTAACCAACATTGCTCATTATAAGTTGATTTATTGCAGATGATCATTAACAGCATTGCCTGGGCAATTTGGGTAAATCCCTCTCCAATTATCAAGAATTTCTTAAAATCCTCTGCTTTTATTTCTTCCTAGGCTTGAGGTGTAAAATTGAACCTCATTACATGAAAAGCATTAATGTTAGATATCATGTGATTTTATCAAACTTTTTGAATTTTCGATATCGGCTGCTACTCAATTTGTTCACGCGCGTACTTCAAATGGTTTGTTGTCCAATTCTCATTATATTTCTTTCTTTCTTTCTTGCCCAGGTTCCTTATGCTGCAACTATATTCTCTGTTTTCTCTGTTTTCGTGAATCCAAGTGTAAGCTTTAAACTTATCCCTTCTATACGTTTCTCCCAACTGATGCATAACCATTATTGCTTATTGGGATCTGGGGTTTATACAGCTACGCAGCATTGTATCAAAACAAGTCGGTCAACATGAGCAGGTAAATAAAGATACTTTTTACTGGTGAAAATTTCATATTCAACAACCATTAAATCATCCATATCCATATCATAACATTGTCTATAATAGTTTCTATGATCTCACAAACTTTTAGACCAATAATAATAACTCATTTACAGGGAAAGGTTCAAGGATGCCTTTCAGGGTTAAGCTCTCTCGCCCAAATTGCAGCTCCCATCATCTTCAGTCCTCTCACAGGTTTGGACTCCAATTCTATATATATACACATCTTTACACACACACACACACACACACACACATATATATTGAAACACAAGGGGCTCGATTTAACAATTTTATCTAATTCATTGATGTCCAGCTTTATTCTTGTCTGACCATCCACCCTTCAACTACCCCGGCTTCAGCCTATTGTGTATTGCCATCACTTCAGTAAGTACCTGAATTTGTACCAGCTTGAAATCTTCTCCTCACGGCTTTTCTTAGCAATTATACTTAAAATTATGCAGATGATTGCTTTAGTTCTAAGTCTCATGATGATGGCGTCCCCAAGTAGTTCGAGTCAACAAGCCAGTAGCAGCGTCCGCACAGAAGCGTAGCCGTTGTAATCTGAGAACTTGGTATGTCCATAATGTATAAGCTTTTGAAGATAAAACCTCTCCTATATAATTAATTATATGTTCTGAGGATTGATAAAGTGGAATCCATTTTGAAGATTTATTTTTTCAGCCTCAGTAGGAAGTAGATTTTCCAGAACATGGCTGAAGAGTTTATTGCAATCAGCTAGCCAAAAAGGATGCAACGTCTTGGATTTTGCTGGTGTGTTGTCCAACTCTAGTAATTTTGCATTTTAGGTGTGTAATTAAACTAGGATTTTGGACTTTTAAGAATATAGCTTGAATATATTAAAGATCGTTTGGCGTAGAAAATTCAGACGTTGAAGTGATTATAAATTCAAGGTTAAAATATCATTTTTAGTAATCATATTTTTAAGTCTCGATTCATAATCTACTTTTAAAAATTTAAAAATTTAGGCTATGTACCTTCAACAAAGGGCATTGCCAGAGAATTTACCCATGAATGTTGTTCCGAATCAAGCTAATTGCGAATATTAACGACAAAGTAGCGTGAAATTGAAACTTGCCAATAAAAAACCTGTAATGAATACTATTGTTTTAGTTGCATTTTTATGATTTGAGTTTTGACTTTTGGGAGTTCAGTAGTAGTGGCACTTCTAATTATTAAAAGAAATATTTTTAGATTTAAAAAAAACAAAAAATATATATAATATATATATATTCCTTTTTCTCTTTTTCTTTTCTTTTTTTCTTTTTTTCCTTTTCTTCTTCCTTCATCTCCTTCCTTTCTTCTCCTCTTCGTCCCCTTCTTCCCACGTTTAACATAATAATAATAATAAGAATCGAACATAATAATAATAATAATAATAATAAAAATCAAACCGAAACCTTCGATTATAAATCTGAAACGAAGGGTTGCTTCATTTCAAATGCCCGCTGCCCAGATTTATTTCAAATGTCCGCTGCCCAGATTTGGGCGTCAACCTCTTTTTATATATATATATATATTAAATTTGGGAAGGGGGAGAAAGAAGAGGAAAAAGAGGGGAAGAGAAAAAGAAAAGGATAGATAGAAAAATAAAGGCAGCCATTTTTTAAAGTTATTATTATTTCTCTCTCTCTCTCATTCTTACTCTTTTTCCTTCCTCCATCTATTATTCTTTATAAAAGTAAGAATGAGAGAGAGAAGGGAAAAAAAAAAAATAATAAATTAACAAATATAAATTGTTCGTCAACTTTCGTTATTATATACTAGGATGAAGATGAAGATGGAGATGAAGCCTTGAAGGCCCACCAGAATAACCATCAACTATCTAACATATTTTCTTATCCAGGCAACTACTTAATTCTTCCGCTACTAAATACAATCGACTATCTAAGAGCTTTTATCCAACTATAAACACAAAATTATAACTTTTAAAATCTCATGAACTAAATTCTAATTTTCTCCAAATCTAAGGACTAAATTCTAATTTTCTCCAAATCTAAGGACTAAATTCGAAATTTAGCCTATTTTCATCCCTATCTTTCCATTTCTAAACATAAGAGTAAGTCTGCTATAAATGATCCAATAGCTCAAATGGTTCGTCATGTCCATTCATTTCCTAAAGTTGTATAAAAGAGCCTACCAATCCTCACACGCATTCAATTCAACTGGAACTAATGGAGGAAATTAGCATCTAATGAGTTGGCTTAGCTGTAAACCAATATTCGACATTCTTCTCGTCCTCCTCCGCCCTCTCGAAACCTAGCTCTTAGAGTTGCATTTCCGGGCTAATATTCCACTTAATACCCGAATGGGAACTATCACACTCACTGCCATAGAAGCAAAAAAATGGGGCAGAAAAGTGAAGAACTCTCTCCACTACTAACTACAATTTCTAAATTAATCCAACTGCTACATCATCATCCCTTTTGAGTTTAACTGCAACTAAGATCCAATGAAGAAAACTAGCTGAAGATCAGAGTGCATTTTAAATTTGTTTTACTGATTGAGTTCCTATTTGATATTTAGAACAATATACATAACAAATAATTATTCTTGTACTGATGAGTCCAAAATGTACAGACCCTACGGGCGTAGTATTTACCTCATTGTATCGGGAATGTATCGTCATTTCCATCTTCTTCGATGTCTAGATATTTGAAGTTCAAATCGCCCCATCCATTGCTCCCGTAGTTAAAACCCGGGTTGACGTAACATTTCATCTCATGAAACAGGTTCAAGTTGTCCACGAGCTTGTGGTATGCATTGCATCCACAACACTACAAGAGTGGAAAAAAAGACTAAGCTCATTAGTTTCGTGTCAACAACTAAAATAGCTGATAGAATATCAGCTAATTACATGCAGATGCCTCAAGACTACTATCTGAATTCAAAGATTAATGTGTCCTGTTCAAGATTGATTTCTTTGACATCAATTCTTCCACAAACGAACATTGAACGAAACCGTTTCAGTTGGGAACCGAGCAAAAAAAACTGAAAACTATATGCTTCCATTCTACTCAACTCAAATGGTCAAATATGCACTTCCATCGATTCATTCCATGAATGTTGTGAAATCTTACCTGCACAAACACAGTACCATCAGTATAAGCATGGGGGTTGATCGCCCGTGTTGTTCGTTGCCCACAAATGTTACAAGTAAAAGCCACAAGCATTCTTCGCCGAGGAGATTTTGTGAAAAGAGACCATGGGAAAGTGGAGACATTCTCTGTGCCTGAATTGGCCTCCAGCCCAGCCGGAGCTGGGGGACCTTCCATGCCAGATCCTGTCGTCCACCCTCTTCCCGCGGCTGCACCAAGCACCACTCCCATTGCAGCATCCTAATGCAGAAAGGAAAACAAACAGGAAAACTTTACTAGAAATAAGATCGAACGGAAAACGAAAAGAACATATATCTAATTTAGTTCTTAATAACGTAGACTATAAATGGCATGTTATTTTTAAAAAACAAAACAGAACTTCATTAGTGTTCGAACACCACTAGGGCTGCCGATTTTCATATTTCCTTCATGGCTGAAATGACTATGAATAGGATTCAAACCAACCAATTGTACCGATATAAAGGCTTATGAATTCTCTTATTCGACAATCATCGTGTTCCTTCTTACAGAAATTCGAATAAACAATTCTCTCTAGTTATTTGCTTTTTTGGAAGAAAAAAAGAGTAGGAAACCGCGTGATCATTTCAAATAGTTGTGTGTATAGCACAAACCATAAGTTTTATCACGAGGAAAACTCTCAATGGCATGAATTCTGATCATCTCAAATTTGCAGAAACTAAACGAAGAAGGCATTAAATTAAACTAATAGTAATATACAGAGAGGCTACCTTTGAAAGAGGAGAAAGGGAGAGATGGCGTCTACTGAGGATTGGAAGGTTCCTGATATTCTTTGAATCAGACTGAGAATCAGATTCGTTCTCGTTACCTAAACACACACTCAGAAACTTAAGCAGGCAACTCAAAATAAGAAAGAAAAAACTAATAACACAACAAATTACTTCGAAGATGAATCAAAATCAAACGATAACCAGGATCATTGAGCTAGCACAAGCAAATGCTTCGATAAAACACCGATTTCAATTCTTCACACTTCTTATCAGGAAAAGATGCAAACAAATAGAAGAAATAAAACCTGTATCTATTCGGAGACAAATGAGAAAGAAAGAAAAAACAATAACACAACAAATTACTTTGAAGACGAATCAAAATCAAACGATAAGCAGGATCATTCAGCTAGCACAAGCAACCGCTTCGACAACACACCGATTTCAATTCTTCACACTTCTCATCAGGAAAAGATGCAAACAAATAGAAGAAACAAAACCTGTATCTATTCGGAGTCTGATTAAGAAAGAAAGAAAAAACTAATAACACAACAAATTACTTCGAAGACGAATCAAAATCAAACGATAAACAGGATCATTCAGCTAGCACAAGCAACCACTTCGACAACACACCGATTTCAATTCTTCACACTTCTCATCAAGAAAAGATGCAAACAAACAGAAGAAACAAAACCTGTATCTACTCGGAGACGAATACCTTTGGAGGCGTGAGGAACTTGAAAAGATCTCAGAGGAAGCATCCTGTTGGGAGAAGATATAGGAAAAGAAGAAGAAGAGGAGATGATCGCAGCAGAAGAAGCGTTGATTAACGACTCCATAGACGGTGAAATCGAAAGCTCTACCGGAGAGAAGCGGATCACAGAGAAGAAGCCTCCGTAGGACGACTGGAGAATGAGAAAGCAGACGACGAAAATGTAAAGAAGAGGCAGAGCAGAAGCCAATTAATTTGGCACGCAAAATATCGCGGGGACGGGGAGCAGAGTTTTGAGGACACGAACGACCGGTAGCCAATGTGGGCTCAATTTCCCGTCAACCCGGCCCATTACTATTTTTTCCTGAGATTTGATCCACAAGCGGAATAACAACACGTATAATTATCAATTAATTTCTTTTTAGTTCCCGTAAATTGTAAACAAATTAATTCTTTAAAATATATATATAGATATATATATATTACCATATCCTAAAAAAAAAATTATTCTTTTGGGCTATGATATATAGTTTTTTCTATCCCCGTTCTCGTTTCTCAGGCAGGCCTTGTACACACCGCCCGTCACACCATGGGAGCTGGCCATGCCCGAAGTCGTTACCTTAACTGCAAGGAGGAGGATGCCGAAGGCAGGGCTAGTGACTGGAGTGAAGTCATAACAAGGCAGCCGTACAGGAAGGTGCGGCTGGATCACCTCCTTTTTAGGGAGAGCTAATGCTTGTTGGGTATTTTGGTTGAGAATAGGATGACATACGAATGAGACAGATCTTGATGGCATGAATAAGATGACATACGAATGAGCTGAAACATGGATAACGTAGTCAAGCTGATTGAGAGTACGAGATTACTGATCGAGGACTAATCAATTGAGATAGACAGAAGCCCTGCTATCGAAGGAATACATCCAACAAGTGTTCTATCTCGTGTTAGAATTTAGCTCAACAATCTACTTTGTTCTCCTGTAAATCACTGAGATTAGAACACATGACTGAGGCTGCTACTTCGATCTAATGCCTCTCGATTTAGAGAGAAAATACACATTTATCTTTGAGTCTCCTCATCTCGATCTCCATCAATTTGATATGGGATTGAGTGAAGAGAAGAACTTATCATAGAAAATGAAACAAACAAGACCATCAAAAGAATGCACAAACTGAATCTAAGCCAACACGGGAGGAACTCATAATGAAAGGTAGCAGAGCTTTTAGCTATTAATACATTCATACGAAATTTGGTAGATATGATTCATAATGGCATTCATGCCTCATCCCTATTTTATACACAATTAGCTATCACGTTATTCAAATTTAAAGCCACAAGGTAAAGCACAAACATTATCAATTATATCACTAATCTTCAGAAGCATCACCAGCGTTGTAATCTGAAGGGCCATCACTGTTGGAATTGCTGAATGTCATTATCAACTCTAAGATATCCCTATTTGGGGTTGGGGTAGAGTTTTCTCTTCCTCTTTCAGGGATTGAATTCCGTCGTCTTCGCAGTGAAAACAGTTGCATCATCACCTCCTCCGGTAACGCTAACCGGTGCATCCATCCTCTAGGCTTTGGATTCTGAGAAATGCGGAGTTGAAAGCCATTAGATCAGAAGAATCGTCGACTATCGACATCGTCTGAAACTTCATCAAATCAATAATCAACGAAGAAACCGAAATCGATATTAAAATTCTATTCAAGTTCAATATCATCGCCTTCACCTTCATTATCTTTATAGTTATCATTGAAAACAAGACCAAAACTCATGTTCTCATCAAATGAAGGAATTGAACCACCAGGTAATCTATAAACACCAGAGAAACAAATTCTGCTCATATCATCTACAGAATGTATATGGCTGTGGGTATTAGCCATGTCCTATTCACATATCAAATTTGGACATCAATTGCCTAGGAAACTCTATGGAACCTACTGAGCTCGAAGCTATCTCAATTGCCTCGAGGTTTCTTTCTTTCTTTTTATCGAACAAGACTACCACATGCCCGTATCATGTTCTTATGGCATTCCTTGAACACGACTACCACATGCCCGTATCATGTTCTTATGGAATTCCTTGAACAAGACTACCACATGCCCGTATCATGTTCTTATGGCATTCCTTGAACAAGACAACAACATGCCCGTATCATGTTCTTATAGCATTCCATAGTCAGAGAAATGTATTTGCAACATAAAGAGTACTCCACCTAGATGTTTCCAAAGAACATAACACCTGCCTGATGTCTTTGAAAAAAAACACGAATGATTTGGTAAATAAAGCAACCAGATATGCTACTAAGGTCTCATCTACAAGATAACTTCAATTGGTGATAAAGAACCACTCAACTTAATCGTAAACTGATAGGAATGCTAATGGAATGTTATTGGGATATTAAGAGTATGTTATACTCTACAAGTCTACATGCAAAAAATCAAGAGAAAACAACACAAATTCATCCACACAAGCAGAAGACAGTAACATAAAATGATCATTGGATTTTAAGCTCAAGAAAGAGAGGAAATATGTTCATGTGATCATATTTGAATACATAATAGGATAAAGGTAGTTTAACCTACCATCAGGATCACCCCACTTTCCTCCCCAAGTCAATATGTGAGTATCGATTTTTTTCAGATCATAACGACGATGATAATGATGGCAATAGTAACAAATAGGTAGTATAGTAGTATGAAAAGATCAACAAATACCAGAGTTAATAATACAATATCACAGGTGCTATTATCCTTACGTCTGGAAAGGATATAAACCTCAATAATCCAAAGAGTTAACTGCCATTCAATAAGCTACAGTAAAGCATTAGTTTTGGCATTAAACTAAAGAATGAAGATGACATTCTTACCTGTTCAATTTTCTCAGGAAGCGTAGCCCTGTGGCGGGAATTAGGAGTCCATATCTTGACGTCCCTTTCAATTCCACTACTAGCAAGCATGGTCATGTGAGGATGGGGCTCGATGCAGTTCACAACATCCTCGTCGGCTTTCATGACTCGGATTAGCTCTCCACCCTTTTTCCTCCATATAAAAATTCTGCCACAATCAGAACCACTGATCACATACTCGCATTTAGGTCCAAAAAAATTGACACCTTTAACTGTCTCACAGTTTCTATGTCCTTTATAAACTTGTGGAGTACAATTCACAACTTTTTCAGCTCCCATTTCACTTGTATCACTACCCAGAGATACTGGAGATACTGCATTTGGGTTTGGACCCAAACCCATGTCCCTATTGAAAAGATAAATATATTCATCATTGTATGAGACAAGGAGCTCACTCAGCTCTGAGAAGGCTAGACCTGTTATTCCCACGTGCTCATCACCAATCAAGTGAGGGGGGCAATAGCAGTCTGCAGGTTTACCAGAATCAGTCGACCCTTCCCCCCCACATTTGCGAATATCATACAACCGTGCATACTCGTCTGAACCAGCAACAACAACGAGATTTGGATTTCTAGGGTCCATAGCAATTGCATTTAGCTGAACCGTTGACATGTAACCTGCCCTATTGCCAACTGATTGGCAAGTGAACAGCTCAACGGCAGCCCCAGTTCTTAGATCAAACTATTAAAAGAGCAAAGTGGACAGTATCACATTGCAATTCAGCGATAATAAAGCAGAATTGTCCTTGGAAAACATCTAAGTTGTAATACTTAGATAGAATGTTGGTGGAACATAATATAACGACAGAACGAACAATCAAAACTCACACGTTGCACCAATCCATCTTCACCACATGTATAAAAAATATAAGGGCTCCCAGGCTCAATGGCCAACTTATGAGCTCGCCCTTGATGACTGCCAAGTAGGGAAGTTTCTACACGCCCACCATTCAAAACCTGAGCATGTCTCACCTGATTTCAGCAAATAATACTCGTTAAGGAATGAATGTTTTAGTACAGAGCACAGATAGACAAGCTTTTTGTAGCGGGAAAAAACCAAAGTGAAAATTCCGCTGATGGAAACTAAGCAGGCAGTTTAACCTAAATAATTAATAAAAAAATAAAAAAAATCATTTACTCTTAAACAAACGCTAAAACATGCCTCGCCTCTTAGGTATATCAATGGTATACAGTGAGTCAGGTATATTATCAAAAAATCAACATTAAATTAACATCACTTTATTAGTAAACCATGTATATTACTCGTCTATTGTCATTCAATTAACATGTGTTCAAGTATCCAAACTTCATTGGTGGATTAATACTCATTTACCATGCATTTTGGGTTCAGAATTAAAATATATGTCGACATGCAATATACAAATCATATCTATAAATCGAAGAATTTCACATCAATATTAACCAACATGAATATAAAATCTAACAACAGGGTAAGGTCTATAACTTAATTTTGAAGCAAAAACAACTTAATTATTAATTAAATACTTTTTATAATTCTTTTGATTTGCAAAAACAATAATATTGATATCGATATTTTATTGATACATCCATAAAATGGAAATTCCATTATCAAAATCGATAATGATGTTCTAATCCTTGTTTCATGTATAACATTGATATATCAGTATTCATTTTACAAGAGTAAATCAGGCATGTCAATAGTGTACCAACATTCATTAAACTGCATTTCAATAATAAATTATACATATCATTCATGTCCCGAGATCAAGTTAAAGCATAACATTGGAGTATTAGCATTCATTTAACTAGCATACATGTCAAATATAACATTGGTGTATGATCATTCATTTAAAATGTATTTAATAGAATCATTCACACATCTAAAAAATACGAAGAGTAGATCGAAATTTGCCATATTTGCAACTTGTTAGCAGAGTTGCAAATATACTAAATATTTTTGCTGCCAATTACAAACTTCCCTTGCCAAATGATATTCCTGATAAATTACTAAAATACTGGTTAAATGAATATAGATATACAATTGAAATACCTGATACCTACTAAAATGCATTTTGTATGGATGCTCATACACCAATATTACATCGGAATGCATGGTAAATGAATGTGGATACAATACATAAATGAGATAGTTGATTTACCACCAAAATGCAATGTTAAACGAATGCAAATGCACCAATGTTAAACCTGAAATGCATGCTAAATAAATGCTAATAGAATGATGATAAACATAATTTACTACTAGAATGCATGTCAATTGAATGCTAATACACCAATATTATACCTAATATGTATGTTGAATATTTGTTAAGATATCAAAGAATGAATACCGATTCATTTAAAATGCATGTTAATTGAATGCTAATACACTAATACATGTTATACGAATGATGATACAACAATTTTATACTTAAAATGCATGTTAAATGAATGTTAATATACACTAATACAAATGATTTGATATATCAATATATCTATGGTACTTTAAGAGGAAAATGTCTTTTGGAATCTTGGTTTTAAAGTCCACTCTTAAACTAAGTTTGAGTGAATCGGTATTCATTCTATACTTGAAATGCATGTTACTCAATATTAATGTTAATATACAATTAATACACATGATTTGTTATCTCTATATGTTGTACCTTACTTTAACAGGACAATATCTTTTGGAATCTTGGTTTTAAAGCCCACCCTTACGCTAAGCTCGAGTCATAGACCAAAACTCCATAATTTTGTAATTCACGAAGCTGTGTCCATCATCTTATTTGACCAATACAAAGATGAAAAAACAACTATTGGAAGCTTCATAACTACAAAGTATAACAAAAATTTAAAACTAAGACCAGTAATTATTGCATTGTTATATCAATATATAAATGAACCAAAAGAACAAAAACAATACAAATCGAGAAAATCTAAAATTTACGCACTGATATACTATGAAATATAAAGTACATAAGATGGTTGACATACCAAAATTAATGTGGAAACCTACTAAAACAAAAGGCACGAAGTATTGCATAGCCTATACACTTTATATTTCATATATCAGACAACCGATACACTTCTAAATAAAGGTAAAATCAGAATATTAAAGAAATTAAAAAATTAAATTTTTTATAAAAAAACTATATTTGCAAAACTCAAGAACTATGGCTAGATTTGCAAATACTAACATATTTTGCTATCACCTGTGAAAATAACTTCATTCGGATCAAGAAAATTTCAACAAGACAGAATAGAATTTCATAAAGATTTCTATCATCCAAAGTAGTGTAAAGAGATCGAATTCAGCTATTGCAGAGGGAGAAAAATATTCAAATTTGGAGGAGTTTCTTTGGCAAAGGAAAACTTTATCAGGAAGAAGAAATCGTTTGAGTAAGCATCCAGACATAGTGACAGACTGACAATCTCCCTCTTAATGAACATCAGCCAAATATTATTGGAAAGGATCAAGTGATTGTCATCACAAAATGTTTCTTCCACAATAGCAAAGGACGAGTTCTTGATAACATACAAAGACACCAACAAAAGAACTTTTGGAAAGCTAGTGCCTCATCAAAGGCCTCAATAAATGATGGTCAACATTAGGCAATTGTATTACGTAAATCTGAAAAAATGGAATTAAAAAGAGGCGTAGAACACATGTCTAAACAATCAAGATAGAATTGAAAGAAGAAATTGCTTCTTCTATAACAAGCCTCTATGCTCCCCAAAATGTAAAAAGTAACAAGAGATTATGAATCACCCCTACCTTCGTTGTGTATGTGGCCAGGTGGTTATCCCTTTTGACAAACCTTGGACTAAACTGGTGTTTCCCTAATGGCATTGCACATTGGCTCCAAGAGTCGCCTTAGATGAAGGCTCAAAAGCAAAGTTAAATAATTGTGGAAAGGTCCAACCAAAGCACTTTTAATTCCATTTAGTTAGTAGAGAGAAACAATAATGTTTTCAATGATAACTACATGAACTTTAATGACTTTTAGCTAACTGTATAGATAACTGTACAGCCAACCTATATATATATATATATATATATATAAAGAGTTATTGACTTGAGTAATAAGAACAATGGAAAACCAGAAGGGTCTAATTCCATGCCACAGTCTAGAAAAACCAGCCCATGAACTAGATAATATACCTGCCCATCCGCAGCACAAGTCACAATGCTTCGGTCATCCGTGTAAGGCATGAATTTTGCTTGAAAAACATTGTTATTATGACCAGATTGAAAAGAGATCTTGACCTTCCCGGCTTCCCAATTCCAGAGAATCACCCGCTTATCATCAGAGCCTGACACTAAAACGTCACCAGCAGCATTAAAGCTCACGGTGTTCACACAACCTTCGTGCCTTTCCAACTTCCTGAGAAGACCAAGTCGGAGCACGAAATCCTGAAATTACAGTAACAACAATAACAATAAATCCTGCACGGTACAATAAAAAGGGGCAAATTACCTATCCAACCAAAACGGTAAAGTTGTTCAATCAAAACAAAAATCCTTGTTATAATACAACACAACTAGATTCATTCCGTTTGGTTTACTACAAAAATCCTTGTTATAATGCAACACAACTAGATTCATTCCGTTTGGTTTACTCAGTTCTAATCAAACATTGAACAATCAGAACAACCCTACAACCTGGCAGTGTCATTTCTGCATACAAGAGAATCCAGAGAGATTATTAGAGAAGGACTATTAATTCAAAAGAACTATCTATAGAAACATAAATCGGGAGAGATTACTCGAGAATGACTCTTGATTCAAAAGAACTATCTATAAAAACATAAATCGAGAGAGATTACCAGAGAATGACTATTGATTCAAAAGAACTATCTATAAAAACATAAATCGAGAGAGATTACTAGAGAATGACTATTGATACAAAAGAACTATCTATAAAAATATAAATCGAGAGAGATTACTAGAGAATAACTATTGATACAAAAGAACTATCTATAAAAACAGAAATCGAGAGAGATTACTAGAGAATGATTATTAGTAGAGCAATACCTCCAGCGCACCAAGACGATTGGCAAAACTGCGAGTGGAAATCTCGCCGACCTCCCGCTTCAAGAAATTAACCACTGCCTTGCTGGAATCATCAAATCTGGCCCTCTTGTTCATTTTGGAATCCAAATAAGCTTAAAAAGAGGAAGGAGAGGTCGTCAGGGAGGAAGGAGGCTATGAACATCACAAAATTTTGTGCCTGGCTTTGTCTGAACAGCATCGGCGTTCACAGCTTTAAGTGCAAGCAGAAGAGCATCGAAAGTCGCACGATGATTTTGATCGTCCTATTTGTAAGCTCCACGTTAACAGCACAAAGACACGTAAAAAGCAACTTATTTTCCTCCAAACCTTATCTCACTAATACTGTAAATATAGATAGAATTTGGCTTTTTTTTTTTTTTTTTAATACATCTTTTAAAAAAAAATTTGTTTTAAAAACATTATTTAAGTTATAATAAATTTTATCAAGGTTTCAAAAATTATTTTAGACTATAAATTATTTGATGCGAGTTGGGAGGAGGAGAATAGCACAACCATATATGAAGAGGGTAGGTTGTGACCCTTGTGTTGCGATAATAGAGGCGACCCTTAAGTGGCGCCTATCCGGCCACGCGAGGGTCTAGACGAGTGCCATGACACGTCGCAACAATAGAAGCAACCCTCAAATGACGCATATTCGGCCACGCGAGGGCCTAGACGAGTGTCATGATGCAATCGAGGAGGACGATGCATCATCCAACACACCACCACCACCACACCACCACGCGGCATTGAAACCAGTTGAGACATGCAAGACAAAGACATCAAAATAGATACGAAGGGCAAAGATAGGCTTGTCGAAGGGCCGAGTAGGACACTCGGGCCTTAACCTCAAAAGTCAAGATTCCAAAAGAAATTTGGGCATACAACTCGGGAATTAAGTCCATCCATACGTGTTAATTATCAATATATATGCAAAATTTAGGGATGCTAAATGAACAAATACCCTCATGCTTATTAAATTTTATTAAATTTAGTTCGTATTCAAATGTGAAGGACAGGAAATGAGGAAGAGGATTTTTTTTATGGAAGTAGTAATGCCATTGCCAGATACAAAATTGGGTAATAAAGTCCTGGAAAACAAAACCTGTATAAAATGTTTCTAAATATGCTTTATTATAAAAGCTGCGAATCATCACAGCACCTTAATGGAAGAAATAAAGAAGAAAAAAAAACAACTTCAAACTTGGACACTACCGGGAATATAATTAATCGGTTAGAAAAATTGATGGAAGAAATAAATGAAGGAAAAAAGAAAAGAAGTAAAATGTAGTTGACAAATGCTATACAAGACATGGTTGCAATAATTGTTAGATTGCCAACGCTCTTTCTTTTCACTACTTCCTCAGTGAAGGTTTCGTCTCAACACTGAAAGGAACCCTCCACTCTTCTCCTTTCGACGTTCGTCACCGTCATCAGCGACCTGCTCAATATATTATTTGGTTATTTGACCGCTATACATTGCTAACATTAGAAAATGGAATAATCAAGAATCTCAAGTAACTGACCAAGCCGCTAAAGTAGCGATAAACCCCATTTTACTGAGAAAACTTTCCTAGACATCATCCATTTTCTCATAGACATCATCCATAAGTTTTCATATGACAATTTAAAAATTAAAAAAGAGGTTAAATTCATATTATGAAATTTTCCAAAGTACAAAAATTAAAGTAATAATTAAAAGTTTATGAATTAATTCTAGAACAAAAAATATACTGACCCTAGCCCACTGCTAGTCGATATTGTCCTCTTTAGGCTTTCATCTCAAAATTTTTAAAACATATCTAGCTAGAGAGAGGTTTCCACACTCTTATACAAAATGTTTTGTTCTCCTCTACCACCAACGTGGATCTTACCGAAAAATAAATAAATAAATAAATAATGTATACATTTTATGGTGTATAAAAGGTACACTTCGAGGAAAGGGAGAAACGCAGAATTTAATTTTAAGGAAATTATTTTACGGAACTAAGTTTTAGCAAATATAAGAATGCAGAGATACTAAGTTTGAGCAAGTATAAGAATGTAGAGATAGGTAAGAAGAAGCCAAGTCATCGAGAACTTACTTCCTTAGTTATCTGCAACAATATGTCGATAATTTCACAGAAGTCGGGCCTCAATGATGGATCTTGCTGCCAACATTTTTCTAGCAACTCAGCCAGCTTGGGATTAGTGTGCTTAGGAATAGTAGGTCGTAAACCCTGAAAAAGCATGCACACGACTTATTAGACTAAAAATATTTAGCCAACTTGTACCTAGATAGTTCATTTGGTTATAACATATACTTTCAACTAAAAGGTTAGAAATATGAACTGAATGCATCGGGGAAATTTTTTTTTTTTTTTTTTATCTCTTCAAGAAACCATTGGAGCTCTTTACGCCCTCCTCAAATGTAACTTTATTTGGATGTATAAATCTAGTTATGATTTACAATGGAAGATTCATATTCAAATACCATACAGCTAAATTTTATGGAATCGAATTGTACCTTTTGAACCACTCCAACTGCGGCTTGTAATGGGGTTAGGAATTCATAAGGTAGCTGGCATGCAAAACAGACGGATATCGTTTAGAAGATATAAAGTATGTTGCAGGGAGGGAATGAATAACGAGGGGGAGAAAGGGTAGATCGCCATTTATTGGTACCTTTCCAGTTAGCAGCTCCCACAAGACAATTCCAAAACTGAAAACATCAGCCTTGTGATCATAGGGTTTGTGTTCAATAACCTTCAATACGAAGTAACTGGAGTAAGAAGATGACAAGATGAGTGAACTATATGTTCTAGTAAACATTCGCTAGTATTTATAGCTTGACGAAAAGGACGATGATCAACCGCAAAGCCACCCAAGGGAGGAATAAAAATCAAAGTGATCAGAATCAAAGTAGCCAATTACTCGAATGATTTAACTTGTTAAGAAAACAACAGCATATCATCGTCATCTAATTTTACATTGTGGAACACAACCGAGAGTGCATAGCCCTTAAAGCTTAAACGCCAAGCACAAGCAAGACTACAGTGAGGGGAGCATATAAGTATATGAAGCGAGAAATGAAAGGATTTCTTTTTTCAAAAAAAAGTAGAGGACTCCCCGTTTTAAAGATTGTTATTTGAAAAAGACAGCTCAACAAGTTTCTTCCCTAAATGATTTAATATAATAATAAGATATATAAATAAAACCATCATTCATCTTCGAAGAAGGATCTTTAAACTATCATCAAAATCTGATGGGCCCTTCGATGTCTTTTATGTATAAACTTCCGTAATTGGGGACCTAGAAAAATCTAACATGCACGATGCAGAAACAATTGACCATGCATCTCCTCACTTGCACCTAGGCACTTAGAACCCCATCATCAAACAAGTCAAGGAAGTACTGTAGTCGTCAAAACTGGCATCACTGTATGTGTAAACAAGAATATAATATCTACGCAAATTTGCTCATATTTTGATAAGATCGCATTCATCTGAAAAAAAAAATTAAGGTGCTCGTGCACATCACTCCTAAGCGTACCATAAATATGACGGAAAATTATAAAACAGAAACAGGCTAAGCAGTTGCTGGCATGCAAGGGATTGGATGTTAATTTTCTATAACTAGAGTACCATTAAAGTATATTACCCAGTTCCCACAGTTATAGTCAATTGTTGGCCAAAGACCACATATGATCGAAGTATTTTATCTGTAGTTTGTGTCCAACAAACATGATAGAGTGGTATACGTGTTAAAGCCTAGTGAATACTAGAATATATAGTTTACATGCTTCCATGAACAATGAACATACCTCAGGAGCCATCCACCGATATGTCCCAGTTTCTGCGGTCATAACTCCTGATTGAGCTTTCACTCTGGCAACACCGAAATCAGCAACCTTGACAACCTGCAGTGAATGGAGGGTGTGAGAGAGATGCCCATATTTTGGATCATATAGGCAATTGAGTTAAATTATACAATATACACATGTAACTACATGATCAAAAATCATGTATAAACCAATTACAGTAATCAAGCTTTTAAATCTGGACAATATGTAACAACATATCATAGAATGGGAGAACAAGAACTAGAAGTTGAGACAATGGAGAAAATAGAGAATTGGACAATTACTTAATCGTATCTAGACCAGGGAGCACAGTGTTAGTTGTTTCAGCTCTAGGAAAGTAACATTCCCAAAGGTTGAATTGACCACCTATGGAAACCCATGGAATTTTTAACATAGCATGCTTTGAAGCTATCTTTTATTCATGGAATGAGTGATGGATTCAACCAACTTCCAAGAGGAGGTGAACCACAGAGAAGCAGCCTTCGTATCTCAAACATTGCTGAAGCGGTCAGTAATCTGAAGTAATTAAAAAGTACCTACTTGTAGCCCGATTACAAGCCTATAATCCTGACTATCCTTTTTCTCTAAGGAACTTCTGTTAAAATCTAGGATGTTCATTTCTTCTTCTGAAGTACTTCAGAAGGTATTATTGTGGGTAGAAAAGATCCACTTTGCGACTTGAAAAATATGCAAACTATCCCAAACAATAAGAGATCTTACCATTAAACTTTAAGCTACCCTCAAGTATGTAAATGTGTAATTATCTTCTAAATTGTTGCAGCTAAACCAGCAAATAACAGAATTATCATGGTGGGGCTCACAATGATTCTATTACTTAAGTAGAGTAATTGCTCAAAATGAAAGTTTGAAGGTTCAATAAAAAATAATAGTAGCACGTGTTCCTGCTTTGGCTAATCTCTTGAGATGACATACTGAAAAACTTCTAAAATAGACGCCACCATGCAAATATTTGATATTGAAAAGCTAATCTCTTGTACAACAAGTTAATTAAACCATCAATAAAAATATGGTCTGGAAAAACATACGTACAGGCTAAAAAGTGCATATATTTCTAGAAAGTTAGCATATTAAGGACAAAAATGGAGCAACGCATGCATGACATCAAAATAAAGGACTGGAAAGTAACTGTTCTTACTTCATTTTCATCCATCAGAAGATTGGCAGCCTTAAGATCTCTGTGAATAATATTATTTTGGTGCAAATAGTTCATTCCCTTGGAGACATCGATGGCTACCTTGAGCAAAGTTGGAAGCCTAAAGGTTCCCTTTTGTTTATGTAGATAATCATATACACTACCACCAGACATAAACTCTGAAGTGAAGAAATAGAAAAATTACTTTCAGATTTAATCAAAATAAATAATGTTACTTGTTTATTTTGTCCAGTAGGGTTAGAAAATAGAACTTAACGGAATACTTGC